TGATGGATAAGACGGTATGCGCTATCGATATGCAACATAGGATGCATGCTGACGACATTCCAGATATACATGGAGAAACTCGCCATCGTGCTCAAGATACCAATAGTCAAGCTGGTGGATGGGTCCTCGGGTGGCGGCTCGGTCACCACTATCCGTTCCACCGGCTTCTCCTACGTTCCTCCGCTACCTTCTTTCGCACAGGCCATCCAACAGCTGAACATGGGCATACCAAATCTCGGCGCAGTGTTAGGACCGGCTATAGGACTTGGAGCGGCACGCGTCGTCGCCTGCCATTTCTCTGTCATGGCCGCAGACATCGGTTCGCTCTTCAATGCAGGTCCAAGCGTAGTCAAAAACGCGACATTTGAAGAGGGACTATCGTTCACCGACCTAGGAGGGCCGACCGTGCATTGCACAAATGGAACTATCGATAACCTAGCCCCTGATGAGGCAGGCTGTTTCGAGCAGATTAGGACAGTATTGAGCTATCTACCGGACTGTGGCACGAAGGTACCGCCGACTGTTGAGTGCTCCGACCCGGTTGATCGGATATCCGGAATTCTTCGATCGATCATACCACGCTCCAGGAACAGGATGTACAACCCGCGTGCAATCATCAGTGAAGTTGTCGACCAAGGTTTGTTCTTCGAGATTGGCGCGCTCTGGGGTACCACGGCCATCGTCGGGCTCGCGCGATTTGCAGGCAGTCCAGTCGGTGTAGTATCACTTAATTGCGAAGTTAACGCGGGCGCGCTCGATGCCTTCGGCTCGCAGAAGATCACGCGTATGTTGAAGTTCCTGGACGTCTTTAACATTCCGCTCGTCCAGTTCGTTGATGTTCCCGGTTACGCCATAGGCACCGTCGCTGAGCGCACTGCAACAATGCGACACGGCGTCACACTCGCCGCAACATACTACAGTACCACGATACCCATCTTTAACGTCATTATCCGACGCGTGTACGGCGTAGCAGGAGGCATCATGTTAGATTGCCGCGACCCGCGAATGCGCGTTGCCTGGCCTTCTGGTGTATGGGGCTCATTACCACTTGAAGGTGGCATCGAAGTTGCGCACTCGTTCGAACTCAAGGAGATTGAACGAAAAGAGGGTAGAGAGAAGCGAAATGAGCGGTACGCGGAGCTGGAGAATGAGTACAGACGGCTGATGAATCCAGTCCGCACTGCGAATGCGTTCGGCATCGAGGAGATTATCGATCCAGCATATACGCGGCGCGTGTGCTGTGAGTGGACGAGCCATGTATATGAAAGCTTACTGCCACAGAGGATCATGGAGAGAGCCGCTGGAAAACTACAACCCATGTTCACTTAAAAAAACGATGCGATTGCGGTGTTCCGCGAGTTCGTCGTATTTTCATCGACTCGTTCGTTTTGGTAATTGTCATTCAAGCGTACTGGTATAAGGGTTGTTGCGTTTCATGGATTAGAACCGGTCCCCATTTGGCCAGCGACAGCAACACTCGTTCTCACCTGATCTACACCGAGTTCGTGCGACAGAGGCCGCGGAAACGCTATGCCTTTTCAGCGAAGAGTTTGCCCGAACCACGCTTCAAGGTGATTTCTTACATGCATTTGATTTTCGGGAGGAGTCCTGCGCTCTTGACTACTAGCCTGCACTCTAGACGTGCGAAGCTTAACCCCTGCTCGTGACCAACCTCGCGGTACCGACTTCCACATCAGTGGATTTGGCATTATTTTCGACCTTTGGAAATGAGGCTTGACACCTGACTGGTATGGCGCACGAAATGTAAGTCATTTATCCTTCTTGGCACACTCTCGCGATGATCCTTCCAGTCTGGTAAGACGGTTTCTTTTTCCATGCGACGCTAGTATTTGGTCCACGTCATTCCAACTTCGAAGCGTCTATAATTATCCCGCAGTGCGATCACTATAGCACATGGTACATCTTTCGTACTTGTGATTCTGCTGACCGGCAAGACCAGCTCGAACACAGCCGATGCACGAACGTTGTACGGCACGTGGAGAGCAGGTTCTGATTCGTCACGGACGTATATTACTACCAATATGCGGGGAGCCGGGGCCAACGTCGAAGCATTCGTTACCGCAGCCCGCCCATCAACTCGCCGTCTCACCCGCATACGGTTGATTACTCCAGCCACGATGGCGCCCCCAAAACCTGGAGCATATAGACTCACAGGCATGCCCGCCCGCCTGGATGATGGTCAATATTGATCCACTAGCCGACGTCGCTCGCTCGTTCTGGACTTGATCTAATGTTCCTCGGATTGATCCACGAGCCTCGCGTCTTGAAGACCCTATCCTAGAATGGCGCCTGTTGGCGCTGCCGCCGCTGCGAGGCAAGCGGATCCTGTGTTGACGCGCCTTGTTTACCGAGATCAGATACCGTGGTATCGGAAGCGGAATCTGAGGAGGCTGTATGCGTTGTTACTGCCGACGTGTATAGGGATTGAGATGACTTCTGGTTTTGACTCTCAGATGATCAACACCGTGCAGATTGCGCCAACGTGGCAGGCTTGTAAATGAACATCTCTTACATTGAGATTATTGCTAAGGTGTGTAGACTTCAATGAACCTCAAGGAGCGCTTCTGGGTATCATCTCCTCGGCATATAATCTGGGTGCCATCTTCGCTCTTCCGCTTGTCCCATATGTAAGCGATAAGTTTGGGCGACGATGGGCTATCTTCATCGGCTCTTGGATTATGTTCGCCGGGTCTCTTGTGCAGGCATTTTCTGTCAACGGTAAGACTTCTCCGGAGACCGAGGAGAGCTTCACTAACGTGTCGCAGCGGGCATGTACGTTGGCGCACGATTCATCCTCGGATTTGGCATACCTTTCTGCATTATTGCAGGCTCATCACTGATGGCCGAGCTCGCGTACCCAAAAGAACGACCGATTATGACCTCCCTGTTCAACGCGCTTTGGTTTGTTGGTTCACTGATCGCGGCTTGTAAGTAGGTTCATGTATCGTCTATGGCCTACGTCTGATATATCTAGGTATCTCATATGGCACCCAGAACCTTAAGAACAACTGGGCATGGCGCATACCCTCAATTCTTCAAGCCGGTCCTTCACTACTCCAGATTATCTTCATCTTGTACCATACCATTCTCTCACCACCTATATATCCCCTGCTGACGAGCACAAACAGTATGATACCCGAGTCCCCGCGCTTCCTCATCTCCCAAGACCGCCATGAAGAAGCATACCATATACTAATAACCTACCACGCCGAAGGCGACACTTCAAGCCGCTTCGCCGCCGCAGAAATGGCCCAAATCGAACACACCATCCGCATCGAACTCGAAAACTCCAAACGCTCCTGGCGCGAAATGATCGCCGTCCCCGGCCTCCGCAAGCGCGTCATTATCTGTTCCTTCCTCGGCCTCTTCACGCAATGGTCCGGCAACACGCTGATCTCCTACTACCTTAACGACCTTCTCGGCTTGATCGGCTACCGAGATGCAGACTTCAAGGGCAAAGTGAACGTCGGGCTGAATAGCTGGAATCTGGTGAATGCGGTGGCAATAAGCTTGCTGGTAAGAAGGTTCCCGAGACGCAAGATGTATCTTATCTGTGCGAGTAGCTTGTTGTGTTGTTATGTTGCGTGGACGATTGCGGTGCAGCAGTACAGTACGAATAGAAGGGTAGAGTCGGCGAGACTGACGATTGCGATTATTTTTCTTTATCAGGCGTGTTATAATATTGGGTATAACGCGCTTACGTACAGTGAGTCCTTATCACTCCAATATGTATGCATCTGGGAGGAGCTGGGACGAGAAGTGGAAGGTAAACGGGCTTTGCTGACGTTAAGTAGCTTATCTGATCGAGCTCTTTCCGTTCGCGCAACGCTCCAAGGGAATCACGATATTCCAGTTTTTCGGTCGCACGGCGGGCTTCTTCACGACATTTGTTAATCCGATTGGGTTGGGAAATGTGAAGTGGAAATGGTTGATCACGTACTGCTGTTGGCTGGCTTTTGAGATTGTCTTCATCGTAAGCCTCTCTCTCCCCTTAACTTTCCACACCCGCTTCTCCACCATCATCCGCTAACCCGTGCACCAGTATTATTTCTTCCCTGAAACTTACGCCAGGACGCTTGAGGTGAGTGCTCTTTGTACGACTTACATGTGAGACATAAACTGACCTGGTACCTCCAATCTTTTAGGAACTCGCCTTCCTCTTCGAAGACCGCGCCCTCGCTGATGAGGCGACGCACCAGGTGGAGAAGCAGATTGAGTATGCGGAGCGCAGATTTAGTTACATGAAGGAGAGGATGAGCTGGGAGATGGATGTGGTTCTTCCGAGTAAAAGCAATGATGCGAGAAGGAGTGCGAATACAGGGCAGCGGAGAGATCTTAGGAGAGGAGATTGGTGGGAGGATTAGTAGCAGTGGTAGGGGTGTAATGACAAGGTCTCTGCTTCCGATTCAATGATTGAGTACATGTTGCGTATGTAGAACGTGCATACTCCGCGCAAGTTGAAGATGGCTAACATAAGGAATATTGCTCATACAGCTGCCGGGAGAAATTCACAATGGTATCCATGACCGGACTTTTACTACTGACCTAACTATGAGTGCAAGCACGCGATTAATTGATACCGAGACGATTAGGCTCATTTTCATGCTATGGGTGTGTAAGTGGGCTCTCGTGCTGCACAAGCACTTGGATCTAAGCCCAACCTTTAGAAAATTTGTGGTAATATATTATTTTGTAGTTCTTACATTTTCTTTAGCATGTAGGTATTGCCGCGAAAGTAACCATTTTCTACCCGGTTTTCGGGAGGTGGGACTAATACCTCGCTTATCAGCCCCGCACCACACATCAAGCCGCCTCTCTGACCAGTGTCTCACCAATTGTTTTCCGTCCAACGTCTGGGCCTATTCCTAGCAAACATGTCTTTACAAAGCGGTATATAAACAGTAACCTTCAAGATCCCGCCATCGGTTTTGTAGTGTATGTTTTCCCAAATCTACACCACTCACTTGCCCCCGCTAATAGCCTTTCAGGTAGCGGTTATCACTCCGGATTCTGATTCATCCTCAGTGTCTTCCGGCAACCCCGGTTCGATTCCGGGCAAGACCTTTATTTTTTTGCGCTGTGAGGCACCTCAGGAGGACAACAGGGTTGCGATGCAGGATACTATTTTTGCTCACGCTATGCACTGGTAGGACACACTTTATTGTCACAGCTTCACTGCATTCGATGGCTCCGTTGAAGCAAGATCGATCTATTTGGAATAAACGAGTGAATAAATGCCCCTTCTACGCCCCTGACTGCCTTGAAAAACTGAATATCCGTTCGCCTCATACTTTCTTTCCTGTGCATTCTATGCCTCTTCGAATCTTCCTTTCCAGGTCGAAGGCGTACCTTTTGGGCTCTCAGCTCCTGTCGGTTCGCTGATGACTTGGGGTAATCTCGCTGTCGGCAGCGTGCCTATATGAAAGAGCGCAGGGAGGTTCCTGGGACACAGCTTCTTCTTCCTGGGTATGTGATTCGTGGGTTTGATTGCGAGACTGGTTATGGTGGTAGTGATACCATAAATATTGCTACCGCAGTTTGAGCGAGAGATTTTGTTCAGTATGGGCGCGGGATAAGTACCTTGATGGATGCGACCATTTAATGTCGTGCCACTCGATGAGCTCCATATTCCCGTTTAGTAATCAGTGGCGTATGTTTGCTTGCACCGCTGAAGTGCTCAATGATGATGAGATTGGCATACTACATCTCGATCCTCGCGTGCACTTATACCTACATTGATCTGCAATCGCGTCCCGGACACAACTCTATCGCAGTGCATCAGTGAACTCCGCAGCCAAGATAAGGATACCAGACGATCGATAGTCGGCCGACACAGCAATGTAAGTGTAGCGTGTTCGGACTTGGCTAATAATCTGACATGCACCTAGCACTGTGGTTTTCGGAGAGTAAGCTCGGATATATGCAGTCTTGCGGCAAGGCGTCTAGATGCATCGATTTTTTTCAAGTTGCGAGCAATGTCCGCCTGGAAGTCCTGTGGGTTAGTTCCGCGCATTCATGGGAGCAATGCAACCTTGCACGAATAAGAAGCACCCTGCAGCTGTGCCAGCTAACAACGAAACTTCAATGCGAAGAGGTATAATGCCGGAATATTGGCAGTACGCTGGCGGAGTTGGAAGCGTGGATTGATATCGCACTGCCATCGTCTTGTGGCAAAGAGTGTTCACGCCTTTCCACTACTCCCGCAAATATCCATCCACCTCTCTGTTTCCTCCTGGATAACCCGTATCTGCTCATCAATCAGCTTTACCAACGGCATACCCGCCGCATTCTTCCTCAGCACTTCATTCCCAACTTCCAGCAGCAGCTTGTTCACATTCAGTTTGACCGCACCGCTTCGTATGCACCGCTGCATAACCTCGGCCGGGAAGTTGTTTGTGCCGTGCAGTGCGATCAAGACGCGCTTGTTCACCTGCTTATCTATCGCTTCAAGGCGACCGTAGTGCAGCTGGCCTTCTTTCGGGCCCGTAGGACCGTAGTCGCCGTGGACGTTGCCGATCGATGGCGCGAGAATGTCGATGTCGGCTGCGATGAAGTTGTCTACATCCTCGGGAGATGTGAAGAGTGCTAGAACTAGTTAGTTTCCACAAGACCCTTGCATCTTCGAAGCACGCCTACCTTCAAGATCCCCTGTATCAGCAATACCATCCTCGCCTCCCTCAATCCTTCCACTCTCCGCCTCAACCGCAATCCCCCTTTCATGACACTCCTTAGTCAACACCTTTGTCTTCTCCAAGTTCTCAGCTTCATCGTAATGCGACATATCCACCATCACCGAATCCACCGGCAACGTCCGAATAATCTCGCGGATATGATCGATATTCTGTGCGTGGTCGATGTGTAATGAGAGAGGTACTGTTGCAGATTTTACGGCGTGCGCGGCGGCGTGCGCAAGAAGGGGCACTTGCTTGAGTGTTGAGGGGAAGAGCTGAATGATCAAAGGAGAGCGCTTGGCTTCCGCGGCGCGGACAAGGGCTGTAAGGTGTTCGATGTTGTAGCTGGGAATTGTTAGTGTGCCGTCGATGCCCGTCATTATGGGCACATACGCGATGGCGGCCATGACGCCGTACTTGCCTGCGACTGCGGCATTGAGGATTGCAAGGGTACGGTTCTCTTTCGTTGCTGTCATGGTGACGGTTTCACCAGGGCCTTGTAAATTTGACAATGTATGTTGAGCAGTTAAGTGTATAGGTAAAATTACAGTGTCAGAAGTAGGAAGTTTGCGAATAGTTCACGCGTTCGGAACCCGTCGGAATTCGCGCGGAACCTCACATTCGGGTTGGCCGCAGAATTTAAGCCCTGCCATTGGAGCCCGTATCGAGCATATTCACGGAACTATATGGCTTCGAAGCTATTGAAGCTCCTGCTGCATTGATGAAATCTCTGGGTTCCTAGCCGATGAGACTCGTTACGGGGCACCGAGCGGAGTTCGGTGCAGCGGCATGCACCCCGCTTTTACCCCGTCTGGGGGGCCTTACGTTTTACGGCTGACTCGCTCTAGCAGCAATCGAAAGCAAGCTCGAATCATGTGCTCGCGTGGTGTTGGACAGGCTTCACCCAGGCTCGCAACGCGGCTCTTCCACGTGGCGATGTACTCGTTCCAGGGACTCGGATATTGGGAACACATGCTTGGACAGGGTAGTCTTGTCTAGGTGAGCCTTGGGGCGGCAAGAATGGCCAACAGCTCGCTTAATCGCTAGCCACTAAACTAATTATATCATGTTTTAACCGCTGAACATCTTGAGCTCTTTAAGTCAACAGTGGCGGGCTCGATGGTTGCTTAACTGATACGCAACTCGAATGGAACAGGATAAGTCTCAATGCATTTTTTATGATTCGGCTCCCCAGTAATCGGCAAGGTCGTTAAGTAGCGTCTTGGGTGGAAACTTGGTGATTTCGAGAGTCTTCTCTAGGATACGTAAGACAGCATTCTGCTTGACGGGGCTCTGCACACAAAGGCCAGCTGATCTTGGTAAGTAAATGGTTGCATAATGCTAGCAAAGAGCCAAGCTTACCTGCATAAAGGGCTTGGAAGTTGACCATCGCACTGGAAAGGTCATTGTCTTGGTGCATCATAGTGATACCGCAAATTGTTTCAACACTTTCGTCTAGGAGGCGTTGTCGCACCCTAAAATCGTCTATGCCTCCCATCGAAGGCTGGTTAATGACCGCGACGATCCGAGCGAAGTGAAAGGTCTGGATGGCAGCTGCATACGAGGGAGGATGTATCCAGATCGGTGCGAAGAGAGCACCCGACTCCGGCAGTGGCACTCTATGGATAGGTTGGAATGATGCTGGGAGTGCGCGATACCAGTCCTCAAGTGCCTGTAACAATTTCCCGCCCTGTTCAATACGCGTGTTGATGTCGTATTTCCTCTCGTTTGCAGCAAAATCCACACATCTGCCGCAAATATACACTATCCTCAAGGCGAGTTCGTCGGGGCTTAGGTCCATTAACCGCTTGGTTGGTCTCCAAATGGTAAGCACTCGCCGATGCTCACGGAACGCGACCCAAGTATCCTGGCGTATCCACTGCCACCAAGCGGCCCTTCGTAAAGGATCTTTGCACTCCCCGTTATTATTTTGCGCCCGCTGTATCCAGAAGATACCGCGAAGGTGTCTCTCCCATGCTCCATTACTATATTGCCCTCCCGAGTCCCACATTTCGTATGTGCTTATGAGAATAGATGTCGCGATTATCTCCCTGGATTTAGAGTAGGATGGATATAAAAGGTTCTGAGAGAGGTAGTGGAGGGTTTCGTAGTAGTATTGTGTCGCCAATTGGATGAGCGGACTTGCCAGGGGGACTGAATTTCCAGCATTGGAACTTGGTGTCTGGCCATCCAAATTGGGCTGTTGAAGTTGTGGCTCATGCATCAAGGCCATGTGTCTTGCGGCTACTGCGAGCAAAGACTTCATGAGACCGACATTATGAACTGCTAGTCCCGGGACGGTAGCTGTAAACTGTTCAGAAGGGTCGCAGAGGTCCAGGATAGGCCCAATAACGTTGACATAGTGCTGGAATAAAACAAGTTCATCTTCGGCCAAGGGTATATTTTTGATGGAGTTCCATTGCTCTTGCGACGAGGATGAAACTCCTTCTCCCGTTCTTGGTGACTGGAGCTGAGGATCTATGTTCGCTGCTTCCGCTACAGGACTTTGCCTTCGCGAGAAGCTAGTGCGATCAAGGTCCAAGTTGAGGTTGTACCTATCAATGTTGTTTATGGCGCTAGACGTGCATGTACGTCAGTAGTTGTCTCACATGTACTTAGTACGTCCGGGACTCTTACTCTTCGGCTAGCAAGTCGTACCACTCTAAAGGTGCCGAGTTAGGTGACGGCATGGAAGTAAGTTTGGTCAATGGTGAATCGAAGAGCAACCCTGGGGAGTCGGTGAAGAGATGTGGATCGATATCCCCATGAACCGATTTCCTTGCGGCCGGGGATGTTGCTGACGCTGATACATCATCTTGTGCCGATGGCGTTGAGGCTTGTACAGAGCCCGATGCATTGGTCTTGTCGGCTGGAGACCCGGCCGGCAATCCGTACAAGCATTCTCTCTCAGACTTGGTGCATGTTGCACATCGGGGTCTCAGCTCGTCACATTTCACCCTTCGTCGTCTGCACGTCAAACTGTCTACATTAGCTGACGTGGTGCACAACAATCACAGCGGCGGCATCCAAGCGTCGTAGAGATGATTATTTTGGGGATGCGAAAACGTAGTATATGAGCTGAGAACAACAGATACGCATTTTGCTTTCATCAGATCGTTGAGCTTACCATCCTGTTGTTGTCCGCAAGCCTTTCGCACGAGATGGACGAGGCTTGCGCAGTTTGGGAACGCCTGTTGAGGACGCATGCATCGCGAACAAAGTTTCGCGTGCCGTGTAACTTCGCTTCGAGGTTGTTGTTTCGCTTCGAGGGCGATGGGGTTGATGAAGTGCGAGATGTGGGGGATTAGGAACAAGTCTATTTAGAACAGGCGAGGTTCAGGCGGCATTTTGGCGGCTTGGGCTATGGGCTAGCGGCAATTACAGAAGCACGC